ACGATCCAGGAGTCGAAGCCCGAAATTTTTTTTTTTTTTTATAAATAAATAAATATTTACTAACAATCACGCCACGTTAACTGGTCCCGTGATAAGCTCGTATAGAACTTGTGTTACAGGTACCAGATAACGGAAATAAATGTAAGATTTTTATTATACACATACATATATTTAATATACATCCATAACCCTGGAAAAGACATTTATATTTATCATACAAATATCTTTCCTTGGCGGGATTCGAACCCGCGACCCCCTTGCGTAGTGACCATGTCACTTACCACTACACCAGACGGCCGTTAAATGGAGTGGTAATGCGTCCGAGCAGCTGGACACGAGACCAAGTGGATGCGGATCACGAGAAAATGTCTCAGGCGGGCGCATCATGATGCCCAGCAATGAGGAAACGATTAGAAGAGTACGAAGATACCACCGAAGATCCTTTTCAAAAGCCCGCTCGAGGAAAAACATGCTATAGTACTTAGGAAATACTTTGGAGGGTAGTTCATTCCAAAGATAGTACATACGTAACGAAAGAGATGTCTTAAATCGTACAAGAAGAATACACTTTCCTCCAGTCATACTACAGATGTACAGTTAACGGAAACCTCTCAAATAATTGCTCATGAATGCACTGCCAGCAGAGTGAGTTTATTGGTCGCTAGGAACGCAATCCTGAAATCGAAGACAGGTTTTGGTTCCTGATGTGAAAACATTTTTGAATCTCATTTACTTCACGCAACGCTCCAGCGCTGAAACCATATTTCCTTCATCATCGGAACCAGTACTATTAGCTATTACTAAGCAATTGCTATAACTATATATTTATTATAATGTGTATGATGAAAATATACCATATTTCTTAATAACACTGGTTTACTGGTGGTAGGACCTCTTGTGAGTCCGCGCGGGTAGGTACCACCACCCTGCCTATTTCTGCCATGAAGCAGTAATGCGTTTCGGTTTGAAGAGTGGGGCAGCCGTTGTAACTATAGTTGGGACCTTAGAACTTATATCTCAAGGTGGGTGGCGCATTTACGTTGTGGATGTCTATGGGCTCCGGTAACCACTTAACACCAGGTGGGCTGTGAGCTCGTCCACCCATCAAAGCAATAAAAAAACCATATCGGTCAGAATTAAAAAAACCTATTAAGACTGAACGAAAACAGAACACGTTCGTAAATGTTCCCCATTTGCAGTCCGTTACGTTGTTGTTGACAAAAAAAGCTAATAAATTATAAAAAAAAAAACAAAATAACGAAAGCTTTTTTAAAATTAATCTTCTGTACTCTAATTTATTTCACTGTCATCAACCCGAAAACATTCTTATCAACGATAAACAAAAAGAAAACAATATAACTCCCAGAATCGTTACCAATGAACTCGTAAAGCAAGACAGCTCCGGGCACAATCGTGCATTCGTTCGGTTTAATGTCGACATTTGTTTGAGAAACGACAAAGTCGAGACCAAACCAAACAAAGCAATGTAAATAACGTACTGTAATGTAATTTTAGCAGAAATTCTAAACTGTTATGACTGTTCGTAGGATTGGATAAGCGCGCCCATATAACTAACTTTGCAACGATAATTTTGAACGAATTTTTTTGAACAACAACAAAATTTTGTGCAACTATTTTGAAATATGTGTATTTCTTACAATGAACTTACTTAATGACAAGGACTGTGGCCACATCCATTGACAAAGTAACTAAAAAAAACCCGCAAATTAGCTTGGTACTCTAAAATATTAATGGTAATTGTTGATTTGGCAATGGTTGATACGAAAATACTGACGGAATGGTTTCATTTTTCAATTATCGCAATTAAGGTTGCTATAAATAATTGACACCATATTCACTTTTCACTGAACTTCATACTTGACGAAAACATGTAGGTAAATGTATTATTGTATAGCAGCTGTCCATGCGGATGCATCGCTCACTCAAGTAGGAGAGAGACAGATGTCGAACGCTGCCGAACGCGGAGGCCGATTGTGCCTCTTTGTCGCTCATTGCGCGCTCTCGCTTGCACTTCAAGCCTTAAATGGAACGCCTCAGAGCGAGGTAACGCCGCATGAGTCATGTTTTTTCATGCGTGCAGCCGGCTCCATCGAATTATAAGACGTTTTCACGTCAAAACTTAATCCGAATTGACATACATTGACAAAGGTATTGTTTTATATTCCTTGTGAGATTTCGCATAATAGTGTAAAAACGCGATAGATAGAGTTTCATTATTACCTCGTTCGTTTTGATAAATTTGTATTATTTTGTTATCTTTATTGCTCATTCGCTGGTATTCGATTTTGAAACTTTGAATTAGATACCATGTCAGTATAATTTTCTATTGCTTTAATTTGCTTGCTTTAATTTAATTTATAACCGACTTAACCTAATAGGTTCTAATAAAGAATAAAAAAGAAAAAAAAATATTCAAATCAAACTATAAAAAAGCTTTCAGTTTATTAAAATAATCTAGTAAGAGTCATTGTATGCCAGTGTGATTTAGTCCCTATATTTATTTATCATATAAATTGTTTAAGTTTATTAAAGTTTCAAACGTTGTTTTTAAATTTATACAAAGCATTTGTTTTAGTAGAAAACTAATTTTGAAGACGCTTTTGAAGAAGAAATATTATTTAACTAAAGTTTTTTTTTTGTGTAACAAAGGACTCCGGCTATGTTTTGACTCACCTTAAGTTATTCTTTGAGCCCATAGCCTTATTAATGACGTCGAATTCGTACTATTCGGACTAATTTCCAGTATTTAAAATGGAAAGAAGACTTGTTTCGCGACATAAATAGGCAGGTTGGCGATATCTGTCCGAATCAGCTGACAATACTCATTAAGCTCCGTAAAAGCGATATTGTTCTACTAAACATAGTAACGAAATCAAAGAAATCGTTGTGGCCTAAAGGATAAGACGTCCGGTACAATCGTATCTAGCGACGCACCGGTGTTCGAATCCCGCAGGCGGGTACCAATTTTTCTAATGAAATGTGTACTTAACAAATGTTCACTTCCACGATTGACTTCCACGGTGAAGGAATAATATCGTGTAATAAAAATCAAACCCGCAAAATTGTAATTTGCGTAATTACTGGTGGTAGGACCTATTGTGAGTCTGCACGGGTAGGTACCAACACACTGCCTATTTTTGCCGTGCAGCAGTAATGCGACTCGGTTTGAAGGGCGGGGCAGCCGTTGTAACTATACTTGAGATCTTAGAACTCGTATCTCAAGGTGTGTGGCGGCATTTACGTTGTAGATGTCTATGAGCTCCAGTATCCACTTAACACCAGGTGGGATGTGAGGTCGTCCACCCATCTAAACAATATATAAAAAAAAATGAAATGATAAATCGGTCATTAAAAAAAAAAACTTAGAATATTGCAGCCCTAATTTTTTATATCTAGCTAGCATCGAAACCGCTTCAAAGGCAGCACATAAGTCAAGGTCGCCGCTTTCCATACGCTACGCTACGTAAATCACTAGTGCCCTGATAAGCACGGTCGTTGATTGATTAGTTTTCTACTCTTTTCGTTTTTTCTTTGCCTTTTCACTAAATAAAATGAATACCAAATTCTTTGTACCTTTCTTTTGCTTAGATCAATTTTTTGATAGTAGTTTTGACGCCTACATATTACGAGGAAGGCGAAATAAATTCTACATTAACTTGTACACCATTGCTTTATTGTGGTATGATATTTTACTAGACAATGTCTGAACCCGTAGAAATCATAGCGTGAATATCGCCACCTGCCTTGATACCTGAGATGTCTATGTTTTAATTGTTTAGTAATTACAAACATAACATTGTGAGTCCGCACGGGTAGGTACCACCGCCCTGCCTATTTCTGCCGTGAAGCAGTAATGCGTTTCGGTTTGAAGGGTGGGGTTGCCGTTGTGACTATACTGTGAGACCTTAGAACTATATCTCAAGGTGTGTGGCGCATTTACGTTGTAGATGTCTATGGGTTCCAGTAACCACTTAACACCAGGTGGGCTGTGAGCTCGTCCACACATCTAAGCAAATTAAAAAAAAAAACATTACAATGTTTGCGGGTTTTGCTAATTATTAAACGATATTATTTTCTTTATGAACTTTTATTTTATACCATTCTCCCAACAATACAAAACTGAATCCCGTTCTCACGTTCATATTAAAACGATATTAAAAAATTAGAGAAATGAAATTTCCCTTTGAATTTAAGTGAGTACCGGTTTGCGCGTAGGATCCACAGCCTCTCCTGTGATAAGCGGTAACATAAGCATTTGGACACGAAAAAATGATATTTACAGCCACACTCACATCTCTGCCATGTTTATTGTTCCAAATAAGAGTATTCTAGTCCTAATAGTGAAATAGCTAGTCCAACTGAGAATTGAACCCTCATTTCTCATAACGTTCACGAATGTCGTGTCTATGAGCCCCGATAGTAGCTACACACAAGGAGAAACGTGCCAGTCACCGTCCTCGTCGAACGCGTCGCTTGCGACGAAGAGTGAGTTTACCCTCAGACACAGCCCACTGAGTTTCTCGCCGGATATTCTCAGAGGGTTGCGTTTCCGATCCGGTGGTAGATTCTGCGAAGCACTGCTCTTGCTAGGGCCAGTGCTAGCCACACTTGCGGTATAAGCCCTGTCAGCTTACCTACACGTCAAGGAGAAGCTGAAATAGCCTCTCAAGGCTATCCGCATAGGTAGGAAAAAAAAGTGAACTAGTCGAATTCGACTTTTTGTCTTCAATTATACATTATTCAATATGGACTTAGTTTGTTTGGTGTTAAATGAATAACGGAGCCCATAGTCATCAATTAATGCCCCCACCTACTTTGAGACATGAGTTCTATTTTGCAGAACCCTAAAACAATAAAATATATGTATGTAGTATAGTGCAGATAAGAAAATTACGACCTCCCAGCTAGATACTCCCTAAGGACAATGGATGAAGGTCCGTGTAGTAAGTCTATTAATATGTTCTGTTTCTTTGTTTCAGATTACGCTATAGAAAGACGACGAGTGCCACCATATACCAAGTGTTCTTTACTAAAATATTAAGATTAGGTAAGTTTCACGCAATGTTTTAAAGTTGGTAAAGTTATTTCAGTCACCTTTTCCTCCCTAACTATTCGCCGGTAGCCTAACAGGCTAAACCAGCTTCTCGTGGACAGATAGTTAAACTCACGGGCTCATCGCGAGAGTATTTGCTAGCATTATCAGGAAGAGCAGGGCTTCGCAGAATCTACCACCGGATCAGAATCGCGACCCACTGAGAAGATCCGGCGAGAAACTCAGTAGGTAAATTTCTGTCGCCAAACATTCGTCGTGAAACGCTTTTTATATATTATAATTGAAACTTTTAATTAGAAATGGTAAGCTGGGTTTTCCATTACAAAGACTGTGGGCTCCAATAACCACTTAGCACTAAGAGCGCCGTCATTACTGCTCAACTAAAACACAAAAAATAGATAGCTAAGAAAGTAATTCTGCACACTAAGCTCGTACATGCGTAGAGATCCCACTAGCCCGTATTAACTGTAGCAATAAAGATAAGCTGACACGTTCGGTATTTTTCAGCATTTTCGCTCATTCGTCTAACTGTGTAGACTGGGAGCCAGAACTGTTTCAAAGTAAGTGCTGTATTGATGGGACTTCGCAGTTTATTCTTAATATATTTTTTCTGAGGATAACCAAAATTTGAAGATTTCCATATTTTCTAGATTTACGCCCAAATTTCTTTCAACAGAGATGTAACTTTAGCTCATAAAAACTACCGTTGTGTGGTAATGTTTCGTTAAGGTTTTTTTTATACATACTCTGAAAAATAATTTCTAATTCTTCCTAAATTTAAATCTATGACATTAAAAAAACATATTTTTAGTAATTCCAACCTCCTTTGCTTCACAGATGTCTACATCTGTAATATCTACATCGTGTAGCTTCCCTTAAAAACATTCACGTAAGTGTCTAAATGGCTAGTACGCGAACATCAACCGAACTACTTTAGGACTAGACTAGTAGACAATAAGGTCGAATATAGCTTGCAAATCGATATTCAGTTACGTAACCCAACATAAAAAGGTAATTTACTATGACAGCATTCATACGCTCTCTGGAGGGCTCTTGGGTAACTTGTTTACATTTGTTACGTTTATGTTTACGGCCGTTTAATATAGTAAACAAAATTGTGCAAGTCATCTGTACTTGACCGGTTATTTATTTGGGAACTATTTTATTGCAGGCCGCATTTTTTTTCTCTGCTTACTTGCTGATTCCAGTTACCCGCCGACGGAAAGGTGAGCTCACGGGCTAAACCTGAGAGAATTTGCTAACACAGTTCCCAGCAAAAGCAGTACTTCGTAGAATCTACCACCAGTTCGGAATCGCAACCCACTGAGAAGATCCGGCGAGAAACTCAGTGGGCGCATTCTGAGTGCACACGGGTAGGTACCACGATCCTGCTTATTTTTACTGCGAGGCAGAAATAAGCAGGTTCTTGGTACATCTATTCGTTCCGTTCCTAAGAGAGAACCGCTGTATAATTGACTTTGACTTCATGTCTTAAGTTGGATTACAACATTCTATCTTCTATGGACATTAATAACCGCTTCACACCAGATAGGAACTTAAACTCGTCCGCACTTTTAAGGTGGTAAAAACAATAATTAAAGTCACTAAGCTGGTGCAAAGTTAAATCAAATTTGACTCTTCGCCGTGTGATATGCTAAATATAATTTTAAATGTTATTTTACACGGCCAAAGTTTGACTATTGCTAAATAATTGACCAACTCCGTCGAGGCCTGAAAATTGTACAGTTGTAGTATTGAAAAGTTCTTTAAAATCACGAACACTTAAAGCTTCGCAAAACTAAACTTTGACTTCAAGTTTTTGATTTATGACAAACGATCTTGCGACCTACCGGATAATGGATATAGGATTGTTTCGTGAACTTTTGCGAGTTTACTCGATAACTCCTTTTACGGTTGGAGGCCACGTTTATTGTTTTAATATTATTATTTTAGCTGACTCGGTAGCGCAGTAGCAGCTCTGACTTTTGTGCCGAGGGTCGTGGATTCGATTCCCACATCGGGCAAGCATTCGTGTGATGAACAAGTCTGTTTGCTCTTTGTATGGATGTTTATTCTCTATAGCTATATACATGTGTCTAAGTATGTTTATCAGTCACTGGTACCCATAAGACAGGGAATTCTAATTTGGGGCTGGATGAACATGCCTGATTTATTCCCAGTTATTTATTTATTTAATTCCGTAATTTTCAACACTGTCAAGTTTTTGTGGACGCGAACAACTGAAGCGTTATTTGTCGACTACCGTCAAATTTTACGTTAAAGATACACCTTGAGGTTTGATGGTGTACTTAACTTAGGATTTCATCTTCACAAATACAAAACCCTAGGTGTTTGGTAGGCGAGCCTTTTGATATGCACGTAGCCAGCTTATAGACACCGGTTTGATATCTCCAATAACTTAAATATACCTACAGTCCTACTAATCAGAAAATCCTTGTTTAGAACAATACATAGTACCCACATCCTAGATGTCCCTCTTATTTTGAAGCTCGCAGAGATAAAATTGCCTTTCTGTCGTGTTGGACGTGAGTCGTAACATGTAAAACATATTGCATATATGAATAAATGGATGCATACAAATTGCGTACGGGGCTTATTCATGGCGTCGATTCTTTGTTTCTGTTTTATCTCGATTATACCAAAGTTCACTAGCTTCGTAGACAAGTTCACGGCCCACGTTCTATTCAGTGATTACCGAAGTCCATAGACATTACATACGTGAATACCATTACTACCATCTGGACCCACATCATACGATTCCGTCAACACATTAGTCTTACTAACATTTTTTTCAGGCATGATATTACGTGTAAAGCATTTTCTCTCACTGGTGGAAGGACCTCTTGTGAGTCCGCGCGGGTAGGTACCACCTCCCTGCCTATTTCAGCCGTGAAGCAGTAATGCGTTTCGGTTTGAAGGGTGGGGCAGCCTTTGTAACTATACTAAGACCTTAGAACTTATATCTCAAGGTGTGTGGCGCATTTACGTTGTAGATGTCTATGGGCTCCAGTAACCACTTAACACCAGGTGGGCTGAGAGCTCGTCCACTCATCTAAGTAATAAAAAAAAATCATTAGAAAATAAATTAGTACGCATCCAGTTATTTAGAACGGGATTTTCTTCAACCCCAAAACAGGGATCATTCTAATTAGTACCTCAAAATTCCGAAACATCCCGAAATTGTACAAAGAAGACGCTCTCAAGAAACCTCGTTATCGCGTGTCGGTAAACTTTCCGAAAACTGTCGAGACCCGAAATTAATATAGAATGAAACATAAAACTCAAATCCGCAACGTGAGGCTGGAAAGATGACGCAAGTACTAATCTCTTGAGGGATTCAAAAGGGGGAGATGTGTTAACAAACATTGTATATTAATATCTTAGGGCTGACAACCTGCTCTTTTTAAATTCGCGACCGGCCGCAATTCGGTTGCACTGAAAAATTAGCCATTGTGCTTATATGGTTTTATTCGACTAGTCTATTTTAACCGTAAATGAANCAACGTGAGGCTGGAAAGATGACGCAAGTACTAATCTCTTGAGGGATTCAAAAGGGGGAGATGTGTTAACAAACATTGTATATTAATATCTTAGGGCTGACAACCTGCTCTTTTTAAATTCGCGACCGGCCGCAATTCGGTTGCACTGAAAAATTAGCCATTGTGCTTATATGGTTTTATTCGACTAGTCTATTTTAACCGTAAATGAATCAGATCCAATGAAGACGACACGACATGATGTCGTCATGGAACCTGGGACATCGCGGACATAGGTTCCAGTTTACTCCTAACATCCCCCTCCTCGTCATATTGTCACTAATGAGGATCGTGGCCTCAACGGAAACGATTTTCGACCTCATGTAGAACCTATGGGATTGGCTATTTGAATTGAATGTTTTCATTAGGCATTCTTTTTTTCTTATTATTATTGTATTCCATCTTCGAGCCGATGAATTGCCAATGTTATGTACGCCATTATTGTCACATGCACCCGGCCATAAATTAAATAGTTTAAGCTATTTTCAATGCTAAATGTTTGTGATGTGGCAATACTTTTTTTTAAATAAACATATAAATTATCGGCCACCTGGTCTGATCAAAGTTTAGATAGGTTCTTACTACCAGCGATCCATTAATACTTCTGCCGGTTGAGACAAAAAAAAAACAATATTTCCCTGATAGCGATCTCATTTTTCAAACTGACTGATGTCATTCACGTTGTCGTGTGGGCTTCGAATTCTGAACACACGCCTGTCGACTTGTTTGCCAATACACCCCTTTCTTTTGTAACTTTGAAAATATCTTACTTGTTTAGGAATCAATCTATGTATATCAATCAGTCTACCATAGAACTTTTTCATGACAATGTGACTACATAATAACTAGTATACATTTTGATTTACTTATTGCTAAGATGGGTGGAAGAGCTCACAGCTCACTCGGTGTTAAATGGTCGCCGAAGCGCATAAAACTCAACCACGTTAATGCCCCCACCCACCTTGAGACATAAGAGATCTAAGTCTCAGATTTTACAGTAACACGGCTTCCTCACCCTTCAAACCGAAACGCATTACTGCTTCACGGCAGAAATAGGCAGAGTGTTAGTATACCTACTCCCTATACTTCCACGTACCACCACTAGTTTTCTACTTCTACTAATTCTACTGAACTACAACTAATATAAATCAAATGAATCCAGTAAACTGTGGGATTTAATAGCGTCAGCAAAAATCTTTTAATCTATCCAGTTCTTTGAACAAGATTAACAGGTCGTACGGAATAAGTCTTGAAAGCATAGTGCCGCTGATCCATAACTGTACGCTCCGGATTGCTCAATTGGGACTCCGTGCTTTCTAGGATTGGAATAATACCTAAACCACAATCACATCGTATCACTACACCTTATTTATTTAAAATCAAATCGAAGTATTTGAAAACATGAAAACATTTTATTAATGTCGGTATTATTGATTCTAAGATATTGACTGTCTTGAATGAATGGAAGGAAGTATCAGAAATAGCACAATTTTTTTTAAATGTAAGCTATTAAATATTTTTCTGGTCAAGTCTTCAAGTCAGAGGCGGCTTTATCTATGGTTCAGAGTGTGGGCCACGTTCAATGAACTTGTTACATTTTGTACCTTCACTTTGACCATCCAATTTGACCATACGCTTACTAGAGAGTACTTAACCCACTGAGTTTCTCGCCAGATATTCTCAGGGGATCGCGATTCCGATTCGTTGCTAGATTTTGCGAAGCACTGCTCTTCTAAGGCTAGTGTTAAGAACTTCTCTCAGGTTGAGCCCCTGAACTCACCTACCCATTCGCGCGTATCTGAAATAGCCCCTTAAGCTACCAGCGAAGAAGTAGGGAAAAAGATCGCTAAGGTAATGATTGTACACGGGCGCTACATGGGCTAGAGATGCCTTTGCCTCAAGTCAGTCTTTTAGACCTCAAGATATTGATATTATTTTTTTGCAATAAAAGAAAATAAGACAGAACTTTTGCAATTTATAATATTTGAGGGCACATAAGATATTCGAAATGAAAAGTTGCCAAAGATGGAGGGTAAATATTATTTGCGAATCACATTAAGAAATTCAACATCGCGACATTTCTGTTTTCCTTTTTAAAATATACTTTAAAAGTTACCAAAGAGAAAATAGTCTCGAAACTCAAACTTTTTTTTTTCCTACCTATGCTGATAGCCTTGAGAGGCTATTTCAGCTTCACCCTAAAGTTTGTAGGTGAGCTCACGGGGCTCAAACCAGAGAGTTGCTAACACTGACCCTAGCAAGAGCAGTGCTTCGCAGAAACTACCACCGTATCGGAAACGCGACCCACTGAGAAGATCCGGCGAGAAACTCAGTGGGCTGTGTCTGTGGGTTAATTCGCTCGTCGAGCCCTTCGTCGCAAGCAACGGGTTCGACGAGGACGGTGACCGGTGCTTGTGGTGCCTAAAAGCACCGTTAATGGATCAGGAGGTTCCGTAATGACGTGCTTTGGGCGACGTCGACGGTTTACCATTCGGTCTACAGGGTCGGGTATGTAGTTTCCAGCGGCCACGATGAGAGGGTTCTCATGTCGTGCCGCCTTCTCAAAATGACGCAGCGATGCCGACTGTAGATATTTACTAACTGAATCGATCTCCAGGTCATCGTGGAGATCCACGTTCCTCAGAAACCATGGCGCTCCGACGGCTATCCTGCAGAATCGGGATTGAATAACCTGAAGGGATTTCAAATGGGTGCGGGCTACGTGAGCGAACACTACGCTTGCATACGTCATGACGGGGCGTATGCAAGTTTTGTAGAGAGTTACCTTATTACGGAGGGACAGTTTGCTTCGACTACAAAGCATTGGGTAGAGTCGTCCTAGTATAAACGCGGCACGGTCGCGTACTGTTTTGATGTGGGGACGGAATGTCATCACTCTGTCGAGGGTGACGCCTAGGTATTTGATCTTCGAGGCCCACGGTATGGGCTGGCCAAAGAGAGTGATTGGGCTAACGGCGGAGGTGTTTGCGCACCTATTAAGGAGTGGGATGCTCGAAGTGGTATTCGGAGGGCGACCCCTTTTGAAGAGCACCGCTGTACTTTTCGTGGAGTTTATGTCAATTCGCCACTTCCGGAACCACTGTCTCATGGTGGCTACTGCGATCTGGAGTCGCCGATGAAGCAACGACATCTTCCTACACGAGTAGTAGATAGCCGTGTCATCGGCGAAGAGCGCTTGATGGGTCTCCGGAGACCGGGGTATATCATTGATATACCTACAAACTACTCGAACATCGTACCCGAAGTATTTTTTTATATCAAACGCAGCAAATTGTTTACCGATTCTTTAAACTGAAATGTACCAGTACATTTTTTACTTGTTTCACTCTCGGATAGCCCTGAACAGTTTACGATACATGTAGGTTTAGTGCCTTAGGTAAGTGTTTCTATTCAGCCAACAATGTTTCTTAAGTACAAGGATTATGGCATACTCACGTGCAACAAGGTGAACGACATCTCTCCACTTAAATGGAATTTATATAAGATTTGTGGTTGAAATTACTTTATTGTTGACTTAGGCGATGTTTTGATCGAAGCTTGCGCTGGGTGAGGCGTCTTGTGGTCTCACGTGGATTTTTTTATTGCTTACATGGGTGGACGAGCTCATAGCCTACCTGGTGTTAAGTGGTTACTGGAACCCATAGACATCTACAACGTAAATGCGCCACCCACCTTGAGATATAAGTTCTAAGATCTCAGTGTAGTTACAACGGCTGTCCCACACTTCAAACCGTACGCATTACTGCTTCACGGCAGAAATAGGCAGGGTGGTGGTACCTACCCGTACGAACTCACAATAGGTCCTACCACCAGTAATACTGATTGAATGTACCATCATGCTGTCTATGTTCTTTTGTAAAAGATACCGATTGAAAGTCACTAATGGCATTATTTTGTTCCAGAATGTGCTATACGACTTCGACCAACACGTTCGGGCCGCGTCCATTCGGGACACCTGCCTCGGACACACGGGTGCCGCCTTATCATCCCTCAGCCTTCACCGAAAAACGCCTTACTCATTGAACTTCACAAACTAAACGTCCCCTGCGCGGCAGGCTTCATCCGCTTCGCACCCAATACTCCTGCTTTATGTGGAAAGCTGGAGCAGGTTCCGTATCCAAATCGAAGGTTCTTGTATCTTTCCTCGAACAAGGACCAGACTATTGAGCTCCATGGCCGACCGACGTTCGCCGCGTCCTACCGTCTCGTAGATCATTGCCACGATGTTCTCTTGACTGATAGAAACGGCTCGTTCGAGGTTGGACCGACAACTAAGCTTCAGTGTTCCTACCGAATCCACTTGCCTTACGGGAATCGAGTGGCCCTACGTCTCCAAATGGGTGCCGGTTCCATGGATCCCATAGAGAATGATCTATCGAATATAATCCACGAAGATCTCCAAGCGACGTGTAGAGGTATGGAACTGACGCTGCAAGATGGGGAGTCAAAGTGGAGACACTGCTCCCAACCAGCAGACCCTTTGAGAAATGTCCAAATAGTCTCAGAAGAGAATTCCGTGAGACTAAATATAAGTATTTTGACCAAGAAAACTTCTTCGGCAATGTGGTTAAAAGCTTGGTGGATGGATAAAGAAGTTGAAAACATCGCAGGGCATTGCGAGTACGGTTGGGTGCTCTCGGAGGATTTTTGTATAAGCGCCGTGAGAGGAACGAAACGTGCCTGGAGACAGGCTGAGGCCGAATGCGTGAGGCTCGGCGGACACCTCGTCAGCATCAGAAATGAACGGCAGCAACAAATAATGGATCAGATGCTCATTCACGAGTAAGTATCAGAATCTTCGAATGATTGAATTTTTTTTTCTGTTCTGAACTTAAAAACAAAAACATCGTGGACGCGCTCCGGGTATTTTATAAATAGAATTTTAAATTGGACCACTTTTCCATTTTATTTTATTGTTCCTGACGTTTCGAATACTTTAAGTTTCGTTGTACAATTTAGAGTTTGCATACAATTTAAGAGAAATGTAAATGTCATGGAAACTTTTTATAAGAAAATAAATACATATTCAGATATTGATATAACAACACTTTGGGTATCTACGACCGTTAAAACAGTAAAGGATTCCAGACTGGACGGTAAAAGTAGTTTTGATTACATTTCTGAGACACAAAACCAGAAGGAATCTTATATCTAATATCATTTCAAGTTCAAACCTAATAAAATATATATATATATATTCTGTTATATACACAAGCAAATCTTCGAATTCCAATTAAAAAAACAAAAATTGTATTTCTTTTTGTACTTTGTGTCCAGTCATCCTTCTGTCGTTATAATGATATTAACTCCAATAATTTGAGAAATTATTTATTGATTGTCTTATACTAACTGTTCGATAGTATGGTACAAATGATCTTACGCGAGTACGCGACACCTTGCTGATTACAATAAACGAACTAACTCGAAAATGAATGACTTCGATGCAAAATGCATCCGTATCCAATATAATGTGCACGCTTCCCAATACACTTTTAATTCTTCTAAATTAATAACTTCGTTAGTTTTTTTAGGCCTTGTAGACAGACCAGCATACGGCCTATCTGATAATGAGTGGCTACCGTCGCCCATGGACTTCAGCAATCCCAGGGATAGAACCAAGCCGCTGCCTACCGTAAACACATTAAAATCACACATTACATTACAACATGCTAATATTGTAAGCTCTTCAAAATGTGGAAAACGAAATCTGACCAAGGTAACGTTCAGTGAAGATCCACAAAGCTAACAATGTTATTAAAGCAATCCTCGTCTAGGATGTTTTTTTTATTTTAGTTTTAGTATTTATTTTATTATTTTTAGATTTTATTATCAAATTTTTGCATACCTCGAAATTTTCAGCACCTTCACCGACATAAAAAGATGCCTTTTGGAATGCAGCTCTCACGGACTAAAGCCTTATATCAAAATTATTTAAATACACGTCGGATATGGGATAAATAAATAAAAAATATATAGCATTTATTTAAGACACCATAATTAATATGATTCTATTGATGAAATATTTAAAATGAAAGTTGAATCACTAAATAAGTTAAAAGCGGCAGTATTTACGACATAGCTCTACTGTGAAACACATCACCCCGTGAATACCACGATGAAACAAGTTAACGTAAACTTGTTGCAAACTGTGTCCCATATACATGGCGCGAACGCTACCATGAATCTTTAAATATGCCCGTGGAGTCTTAACTGAGATTCAGTCCTTTAAACGGAAACCCATGACTATTATGGGACAGAAAGAGGGAGAATGGCAGTACCATTCGAGTTAGCATAACTAGCTTAGCGAGCTAAGATGCAATTGTTTGATTAAAATATATATTATAAGGCCGAGGAATCCTAAAAAACCTCCAATGATAATGACTTCTCATTCAGGCCTGGCGCGGGAGTAGACGATGTGTACTGGATCGGAGCCACGGATGCAGTCCACGAGGGAGAGTTCCGATGGTCAGATGGCTTGCCGTTTTCCTACGCACGTGAGTAGAGTTTCATTTTTACCTAGAAGGAAACGCTTGTGGCTTCGTAGCTAGCTTCTCACACCAACGAGACCTTATGAAATAATATGTAACTATATAGTATACGTATAAGTTGAGATATAAGTTCTAAGGTCTCAGTATAGTTAGAACGGCTGTCCCAGCTTTCAAACCGAAACGCATTACTGCTTCACGGCAGAAATAGGCAGGGTGGTAATTCCTACTCGTGCGAACTCAGAAGTGAATCTTCCACCAGTAATTTTGCGGGTTTGAATTTTATTACACGATGTTATTCCTACGCCGTGGAGGTCAATCGTGAACATTTGTTAAATACGTATTTCAACAGAAAAATTGGTACCCGCCTGCGGGATTCGAACATCGGTGCATCGCTAGATACGAATGCATCGAACGTCTTATCCTTTAAGCCACGACGACTTCAAATGAATTAAAACAGCTAATTTTTTGTAGTGTTTTAAATTAGCGTAGTTTTAGAATACATTTTTATTTGGTTGGTTTTAGAACAAGGAAATGGATTCTATTATCAAATGTATAAACAGTCGGCCCTTGTGACCAGTTGATTCGTTTTCTTATTTAACAACGCAAACATGTTACACAATTAATTTTGTAGGTCTCAGTCAAAATGGCGTCGGAAAGTCTAGACTCTATTTAGCTCTTCTATTTGCTGATTTATGTCTAGTTGTCGAATTTTATTAACAGATTCGCAATACAGGATATACGCTAACCGTCTCTTAAGCAGGCAGGATACAGAATAGCAGCAAGAAGAACATCACTAATCTGCTAAATTCAGCATATATAAATATATTCTTATCCTTAATTTCGTTTAAATTTTAGCTTTCTTCGCGTTTTGTACCGTATGTTCCATAGATAATGCTCTAAATGGTTGTGGGAGATTAGCGTGATTTCATTTTCGCATCGCCCGCATACCCATTAAAGATTATGTCAACTTCCTGATATTACCCTAGATGTTTCTATAAGTTTTTTTTTTTTTTTATATTAATTTCATTTATATTATAAATTCCTGCCTTTAAAGCGTCTAACAGTATCCGCTTTATATTTTTTAATAGAAACATAGAAACATATTATCATTCTCAATCAACTAACTCCCTTTTTCTCGCCTCTAAGCAATCGTTTTAAAAGCTCAGTGGTTTCAGCGTTAAGATAAAAAAGTGCTCCTCTGACGAGACAATCCGCTCGAGGACCGGTCGAGCTTCTAGGGCTTAGCGCTCTTAAGACTAGTACTCTTGCGTTTTGTCTCCAAAGCGCGCAATCTTTATATTCACAGCAACTTTTATGATATTTTTTTATTGCTTCGATTAGTCTAGCCACTGTGATTGTGCGGCTTCGAACATGACTCCCGGCTGAAATCGTTTTAAATGTTTGGCAATCAGTGCCTCGTTGCCTTTGCATCCACCACCTGATGGTAAGTTGTTACCGTCGCTCATCGCGTACCGCTATCCACCGTCAAGCACTCTCCACAAGCCTCGTTTGAAGAAGGACATCTCTTAGCGCTCGGGAAACACCGTAGGTACGTGGTATAAAATATCTCTGAAATCGCACCATGGATCTACCCAATGAGTTGGTTCATCATGCATTGAGACGAGTAATATTATAATTTGACCCTATCTATGCGTTCGTTACCATATTTACTATTTGAAGTAAATTAATTTTGTATTCTTAATCTGCTTAAACTTTATAAACACAACTTTTTTTCCATTAACTTATGCTCAAAATTGAAACCTGCCTTATATTCTGCAACTCAACATGCCGTCTACGCTGATCGACTGCGTTTATTCATTGAAATTGGAACTGAATAAATAAACGTAGAATCGTGCATCCATTAAGCAGTCACTCGCACTATTAACGATAAATCAGAACAAAATTATAGTATAGAGATGAACCAAATATTCAGTTTGCTTTCGGCATTTGGCATTCGGCTCAGCACTCCCTAGGGCTCAAAATATTATGCGAAAATACACCAACAAATTTAAACTAAAAAAACATTAAATCCAAATTCATTTTAAGGAATTTTTAGGCCCCGCCAAACTAATCGGTTGGGATTCTTAAAAGTATAGTTGTTTCTTTAAATATGACTTAACGAAACACTTTCAACTGGGTGGATCGCATACATAATAGATGCCTATAGAAGGGAAATATTGTTATTTAAAATGTACATTTAAATGCATATTTTGAATAGCTTTGTAATCAGTAGAGCTTGATAATCTATACACAGTCACAACAAAGAACAACACAGAAAGTACAGTACTTGAGTTATGTTGCAATAGTTAAGTCGCTTTGCACAGAGTCGCAGTAGTGTGTCTGTCAGTCAGTCAGTCTGTCAGTAGTCAATAGTGACTGACAATTAATAGTAGACAAGTATGAGTGCTGACCGACTGGATGGGTTATTACTACTACTTCTCACATACTCAGAAGGTAATTTCTTCTTCTCTAGAATGATTGCAACGACTAATTGCTACGACATATTCCTGTTAGATAGACTCGACTGTTGTTAGGCACTGCTCTATATAAATGCTACGACATATTCCTTCTAGATCCCTCCTTGCGTCGATAATTCTCAATGCTGAGGGTTGTGGCCTCCTCTAGTAACTTTCTCCTGGATGTGTCCGACGTCACTTAATCTAGTGTCTGTATATTAAATGAGGCTTTCTTAGGAACATACACATCACACACATCCTTTTAGATAGACTTTGAGAGATTAACTCTGGTTCAGCATTGTTCTAAATTTTGATGACGTATTTCAGAAATCGGGAATTTATTAAAGTGACTTCTGAAGATAATTTTGTTAGTGACTAATACTTGGATCGAAAATGACACACGAAAATAAAATTTAAATTATTCTATTCGGTATACGAAACCAATAAATAGCATTCACGTTGACAGCTCTATTTTAAATTGTTTGAAACAATTCTTATTATTTTCCATTTTATCTCGTTGCTTTCAATTTTAACAAATTAACGTGAAAACGGACGAATGAACGCTACGCCAGTTAAACGTTTCGAAATTCAAAAAGGATAAATAATTGTTTTATTTCGTCACTTCACCAGCAAACTCGACAGATTGTCCTATGAAGTTTCTAGAAAGTTGGTTCGCGATCTTTTGTGAATTTTCCATATGTCTGGAAACTTTTTTATCACTAAAACCTTATTCGGAATTGTTACAAACTTGCCGAATGCAAGTGAGCAAGGGATATTGCTTGAAGAACAGATGACTGCTGGCCAGAAATTTCTCGAGTAGTGTCCTCTCGTTTCGAAAAACGCAGCGTAGGTAGGTAGGTGTTTAGCATACGGCCCACCGGATGGTAAGTGGTTACCGTCGCTCATGGACCTCAGCAATGCCAGGGACAGACCCAAGCCGCTGCCTGCCTACCTGTGGACCGATGACTTGCCAAGGGTCGCGAGAACCCGCTAGATGCGGACTGCTGGAGAACCACTTATTGTGGACAACATCGTACGTCTGTGGTCTGATGATGAACCTTGCTGATCCCTAATATCCTGATTTCGTAGAAATGTTAAGGTAAATCGCACGCCTGCAATATGTACCAACATCCTGTCTATAACTTCCGACAAATTTTAATGCTTTCAATGTCATATGTGAGACAAAAAATATATAAACAATTTTTTTTTTTATCTTAATTTTTGCTATAATGAGTGGACTAGCTCACGACCCACTTTGTATTAACTTTAGCAGAGGCGATAGATCTCACACCATGCCTTCGACTAATGTCTTCACAAAACCTTAAGGTCGAAATCTTAATTGTATTCAATAACAGAACGTTACAACGTTTATGTATTTAAATAAATTAACATCAATTAGATCAGCATTCATTCATTAATTATTAATGAGATTATGCGGCAATTCATCTCTTACCGAGGAATAATAATGGTAGGATAAATAATAAGAACGTTGGGCAGTGATCCATCACAATAAATTAGACAAGTGATTCACGGTGGTAGCTGTACGCAACATCATTCATATCCAGACGCGGTGTTGCCGTGTTTAGGTTGCGGAAAATACAATATCTTATGGGAAAAGCTCGCAATTTTTACGTTACTGCGGCCGGTGCGTTTTGGTAGATTGCTTCTTACCTATTTCCGCGAATACAATTGTAGAATTACTCCGCTTGTATAATTAGATTAGACTTAGAATTAGATTAGGCTTCAGATAGACAGCAATATTCATTTTTTCGGCGCGCGCGGTGTGGTGGAGCTCGATGGGGTTTAGTCGGTAGTCGGTTCTGCGGAGCAAGTGCCTCGCGCGCCTTTTTCAAGGCGTAGTCTCCTGTGAGAAACCTGGTCCCTTACCCCCCTCGACCGGGTATCCGTAAATGGATACCCCAGCGTTAAAAAAACAAAAAAGATAGACGGCAATATTCATTAGCGTTGACAGCGTGGTATATGTGGGTCCCACCACTTAAACGTGATTTTCATTTTTCTGTTGATTCTCCTCCTTGCATCGTGTTCTTCAGTGTTCAATGTTGTGACCTTTACGGAGAAGTTTTGTTTGGACTGTGTTCCTCCTTTCCTGCCTATCGTCTGCGCAATGGATAGCGACATTGTCTGTTCAAGTCTGTAAATATCACCCAAAACGTATAATTCACAAACCAGTTTTAATTTTACATTAACCTTACCTATTAAGTACAAAAAAGCACAAATTGTATTTATTCTGACTTGTATTTGTTCATTTTATATTGAAAACAATTTAGTAAGTAACAAAAACAGCAAAAATAGTGGATATTCATTGAAAATATCCACATATGTGGCAATTTCGCGTAGAATTAAATATATAAATATTTTTTTTAAAACCTACACATCAATATGTGCCAATGTCCCGGAAGAAGTTAAAACGTGGCAACACTATTCGAAACTCTCTTTCAAGCATTCCTAAATCAACATTAGTGCTGCAATTAAGATTGTTATAAATGGATTACTTCAATTGCGAAATAAAAAAATATTGATAGGTGCTCTAAGAATTTGAGGTCGATGGACAGACGTGCTTGCCCCATAGACACCAAACGCTATCATGTATCCGCGGCATTTAAAACCAGCAAAACGAGGAAATTTGAAACTACAAATATCTGCCGCAGAGCTATAATGCTTTCCAGATAGAAAGACGAGTAAGTCGTCATACCGTTATTGAGACATTGATCTCTGGTTTCAAGGTAGATTGTGAGTGGTATTCACACTTGTTACCGGAGATCATATATCACATATGATATCCAGGAAGATCTTAAACTGGTCCATCTAAATAAAAAGACACCCAAAAATGATATATAAATATGTTTCATTACTTTCCACCAGATTGGTTTCCCGGCTGGCGGAAGCACAGCAGTCAGCCCAACGATGACGGCACCTCGGGCCAGGACTGCGTGGAGGCTAGGCGAGAGTTCCCCCCGCGTCCAGCGCCAGCGGAACCCACCTTCATGTGGAACGACAGGGGATGCAGGGAACACAATTACTTTGTCTGCGAGAAACCCAGCGTTGATGGTAAGTTTTTTGTATTTTAAATCTTGTTGTTTCTTTTTCTGATGCTGGAGACCAGATAATTCGTTAATCCACGCTTTAATTTTTTATTATTTAAAATGAATAGAATACTTAGTCCTTTAGTGTATTCTAATAAAAAGGGAAGGAAGCGCAAAAAGGGAATTTATGCGAATTTAAAATGTATGTAAGAGACTATAGATCAGAATTCAAGACAAGAACGAATATGTCGGCGTTACGCCAGGGCTTTCACACATAAGGTCTCTTACAATGAAAATACAATACAATTCTATAAAACTTTAACATTACTTGTTTATTACAATAAGCCCACGTCTTAGTTCTTACACAATTAGCCATTTTGTGCTGGTTATAGCAACTACAACTTATTTTATACAAACAAATGTAATTACTGCGAAATAATGCACAAAATATGGCTTAATATTCACAATACATATTTTAGTGATTTTACATGACTCTGAAAGTAATTTATTTAACATAAATTACTTTTTAACTAATATAAACTAACATTGTTATTATCCAGCCTAAAAATAGATGGCACGAACAACATCATTGCATAACAATTACAATACTTAATTAAATTATTACTGTTAATTATAATATTATATAAATTATTATTACACTTTATTATTATTTAGTTATTTATACAGTCATTTGTGTTTTTAAACAATAACATAATAACATAAACATTAAACATATTCTGAACATTTTAACATCAAAACAGAATCTGCTAATTATGAAATATGGTAGAATATGGTTTCATCTTGCTAATAATAAATAAAAAATAAAATAGAATAAACTAAACTATATATTATTATGTTAATTATTGCCTTTTTTTTTATTGCTTAGATGGATGGACGAGCTCACAGCCCACCTGGTGTTAAGTGGTTACCGGAGCCCATAGACATCTACAACGTAAATGCGCCACCCACCTCGAGATATAAGTTCTAAGGTCTCAGTATAGTTACAACGGCTACCCCACCCTTCGAACCGAAACGCATTACTGCTTCACGGCGGAAATAGGCGGGGTGGTGGTACCTACCCGTGCGGACTCCCAAGAGGTCCTACCACCAGTGATTACGCAAATTATAANGAAGTTGCGTGCCGTAGGACCAGGAAGCGCGGTGAGTCGGCTGCGATGGTCCTGTTGAGGCTGCGATGCTGGCTTGCTGTGGGACGACTGTCAATGACGTGCTTTTATCTGCGAGAATGCGGGGATTGTGGTAGCCGGAGTTCTTGATGCGCTGAAGATGAATCAGAAGGTTGCGTGTTCACATCTCGTCGCAGGTCACCAGTTTGGGAATATACGACAAAGGGAAGATCTTCCACTGAGCGGGTGATATTTGCTCGGTAGACCGGCGGTCCGAATGTTGTTGTTCGGAACTTGTATATATGCGCTTTATCTTGAAAATGTCGTAAGCGAGATTCAGGCATCTGTCAATTATCTTGCGTTGTATGATGGCTACCCGCCACAGTACCAACACCGTGCCTATTTCTGCCGTGAAGCAGTAATGCGTTTCGGTTTGGAGGGTGGGGCAGCCATTGTACTGTTAAAACTGAGACCTTAGAACACACGTCTCTAGGTTCATTACACATTATTTACTTAAAGCTATTTTAGGCAGTCAAGTATCAAATATATATTTTTATTGCTACTGCAAGCAAATGAGCATACGGCCCACCTGATGGTAAGTTGTTACCATCGCTCATCCCGTACCGCTGCCCACCTTTAAGTACTCTCCACAAGCCTCGTTTGAAGGACATGTCATAGCGCTCGGGAAACACCGTAGGTTATTCCAAAGCCACATCCGGGTTGTCACCAGTGCGGGCATCCGGATGATGACGCTCAGCACGCACTCGAAGCGTGCCCGCGTTGGGAGCACCCGCGGCGAGATCTCATCGCGGTGCTGGGGAGGGACCTCTCCTTGCGGGCTGTCATTGCCCGCATGCTAGAGGACGAGATTTCGTGGGAGGCCATGGCCAGATTTTGCGACCTGGTCATGGCGTTCCGCAAGGCTGAGGAGCGCGAAAGGGAGTGGGATCCCTCTTCGGCTCCTCAGCGAAGAAGGCGGGGTGGGCGACGCGGGCACGATGCTCCCGTTAATCTCCCGTAGGGACTGTTGGGTACTGGGTTCGGGGGCGCCCGCTGCTCTGCTGTCGGTTCCGTGGTGAGACGGCGCAAGGTGGCTCCTATGCGCCACTCACGGTGGGTCTCCCGAGACGACGTCCTACGGGATCTTCCCGGGGATGGGATCCCGTCCTATTGTCAGGACGGGTACCGGCGACGGCGAGAGTTAATCTGCTTAAACTTTATAAACACTACTTTTGTCCATTAATTTGTGCTCAAAATTAAAACCTGCCTTATATTCTGCAACTCAACATGCCGTCTACGCTGATCGAATGCGTTTATTCATTGAAATTGGAACTGAATAAATAACACGTAGAATCGTGCATCCATTAAGCAGTCACTCGCACTATTAACGATAAATCAGAACAAAATTATAGTATAGAGATGAACCAAATATTCAGTTTGCTTTCGGCATTCGGCATTCGGCTCAGCACTCACTAGGGCTGTAAATATTATGCGAAAGTACACCAACAAAACTATTTTTAAACTATAAAAAAACTAAATACAAATTCATTTTAGGCCCCACCAATGATTTCACTCCAGTTTATGGATTAACATGTCTAAATATACATTGATGTACATTCGAACTCTCAATAAACTAATCTGTATGGGGTTGTAAGTATGAGTGCATTAGCACTCATACGTCCGGTGCATTCGTATGTAGCGATGCATCGGTGTTCGGATCCCGCAGGCGGGTACCAATTTTTGTAATGAAATACGTACTCAACAAATGTTCACGATTGACTTCCACGGTGAAGAAATAACATCGTGTAATAAAAATCAAACCCGCAAAATTATAATTTGCGTAATCACTGTTGGTAGGACCTCTTGGGAGACCGCACGGGTAGATACCACCATCCCGCCTATTTCCGCCGTGAAACAGTAATGTGTTTCGGTTCGCAGGGTGGGGTAGCCGTTGTAACTATACTGAGACGTTAAAACTTATATCTCGAGCTGGGTGGCGCATTTACGTTGTAGATGTCTATGGGCTCCAGTAACCACTTAACATCAGGTGGGCTGTGAGCTCGTCCATCCATCTAAGCAATAAAAAAAAAACCTGTGACTGTGACTGTGAGAGATTCACTCTGGTTTGGCGTTTTTCAAAAATTTGATAACGTATTTCAGAAATCGTAAATTCATTAATGTGACGTCTGAAGATAATTTTGTTGCTGACTATTACCTGGATCGAAAATGACACACGAAAATAAAATTCAAATTATTCTATTCGGTATACGAAACCAATAAATAGCATTCACGTTGACAACTCTATTTTAAATTGTTTGAAACAATTCTTATTATTTTCCATTTTATCTCGTTGCTTTCAATTTTAAGCAAATTAACGTGAAAACGGGCGAATGAACGCTACGCCAGTTAAACGTTTCGAAATTCAAAAAGGATAAATAATTGTTTTATTTCGTCACTTCACCAGCAAACTCGACAGATTGTCCTATGAAGTTTCTAGAAAGTTGGTTCGCGATCTTTTGAGAATTTTCCATATGTCTGGAAACTTTTTTATCACTAAAACCTTATTCGGAATTGTTACAAACTTGCCGAATGCAAGTGAGCAAGGGATATTGCTTGAAGAACAGATGACTGTTCTTCAAGCAATATCCCTTGATGATGAAACTTCAAAGTCGTCGTGGCCTAAAAGATAAGACGTCCGGTGCATTCGTCTTGAAGCGATGCACCGGTGTTCGAATCCCGCAGGCGGGTACCAATTTTTCTAATGAAATACGTACTCAACAAATGTTCACTATTGACTTCCACGGTGAAGGATATCGTGTAATAAAAATCAAACCCGCAAAATTATAATTTGCGTAATTACTGGTGGTAGGACCTGTTGTGAGTCCGTGCGGGTAGGTACCACCGCCCTGCCTATTTCTGCCGTGAAGTAGTAATGCGTTTCGGTTGAAGGGTGGGGCAGCCGTTGTAACTATACTGAGGCCTTACAACTTATATCTCAAGGTGGGTGGCGCATTTACGTAGTAGATGTCTATGGGCTCCAGTAACCACTTAACACCAGGTGGGCTTTGAACTCGTCCACCCATCTAAGCAATCTGATCCCTAATATCCTGATTTCGTAGAAATGTTAAGGTAAATCGCACGCCTGCAATATGTACCAACATCCCATCTATAACTTCCGACAAATTTTAATGCTTTTTATACTTTAAAGTACAAACTATAGCTGTTAAATGTTATATGTGAAACAAAAAATATATAAACAATTTTTTTTTTTATCTTAATTTTTGCTATAATGAGTGGACTAGCTCACGACCCACTTTGTGTTAACTTTAGCAGAGGCGATAGACCTCACACCATGCCTTCCACTAATGTCTTCACAAAACCTTAAGGTCGAAATCTCAATTGTATTCAATAACAGGACGTTTCTACGTTTATGTATTTAAACAAATAGACATCAATTAGATCAGCATTCATTCATTAATTATTAATGAGATTATGCGGCAATTCATCTCTTACCGAGGAATAATAATGGTAGGATAAATAATAAGAACGTTGGGCAGTGATCCATCACAATAAATTAGACAAGTGATTCACGGTGGTAGCTGTACGCAACATCATTCATATCCAGACGCGGTGTTGCCGTGTTTAGGTTGCGGAAAATACAATATTTTAGGGAAAAAGCTCGCAATTTTTACATTACTGCGGCCGGTGCGTTTTGGTAGATTGCTTCTTACCTATTTCCGCGAATACAATTGTAGAATTACTCCGCTTGTATAATTAGATTAGACTTAGAATTAGATTAGGCTTCAGATAGACAGCAATATTCATTTTCGGCGCGCGCGGTGTGGTGGAGCTCGATGGGGTTTAGTCGGTAGTCGGTTCTGCGGAGCAAGTGCCTCGC